GAGATCTTCCTTCATGTTAAAGAGATGTGCATATTTATCAAGAATCAGACTTGAGCTTCTACAGGCTTGCACTCCGAATCCTATAAATGGGTAAAAAAGCCTATTTTGATGATTTTAAAAGGCTGTAGAGAAGCAGACGTGAAACTGTGTGATTGTACTGGGGTAATCCACAGTAGCTGAATATCTGTCCCTAGCTGTCCAGAGAGTGCGCTGGGTTATTATGTTAACAATCGTAAATGAAAAATGTCCCAGGGCTCACACTGGTGTTTGTTGGAGGCCTCTGTCCATGTGAGATGTTTCTGAAATTTCCATGTGCCATTCCAGGATATGTGTCATGGCCTCTTCTGAGAAGCATGAAGTCACTTGGCCTTTGGTCTTGTGACTTCCAGCACACCCCAGGAAAGGAGTATCTCATCAGGAGCCACAGCCTGTAATGTCTTCTTCTTTAATTGCTGTTCTAGCTGTGCCAAACTATATTAACCCTTACTGCACATATGCTGCCATGCTCCCTGAGATGCCTGTGCTTCGGTAGTCTTTGAGAAGGCTTACTGCGGTATCTGTTTCTGTTGTAACAGGTAATCCCAGGAGCGGGGATTTCAGTCTCCCCAGTAAATAGTTCATGCACAGAATCTGATTTATCCTTCTGCTTTTCAGAAAAACACGGAAAGTTTTAAAATGGAATAAAACCCAACCAAATACAAAGTCCCTGCAGTCAAATCAGAGTCAATATTCTCATATTCCTTTTCTCCTATGACTTCTGTCAACAGTTTGTTCTTCAGTGCAGGATGACAACACTGGAATGTGACTGTAACACCACAGCCGCTGACAGTCTGATCAGACCAAAGCTGTTACTGTCACAGACAGGGTAGATCTGGGCTTAGCAGAGATATGCATTTAATCCTTTAGAGCCCTGTGCCAGATGGGAGAGTAAAATGAGTCTTTCAGTGCCATCACCCTAGTGTCCTCCTAGCAAGCACTCCCATTTCTGTGTGTATGACACTCATTATATCTGGCAAGAACGATTGTGTTTAAACAAATGTTTCTAAGTAGATCCTTGTCTTTTACTACTATATTAAAGGGCTAAGGACATTAGATTTATTAATGTGTTCAGGCAAATATTCTATACATGTTTTTTTCCATACCTCTAAGCATTTCTGACACTATCTTTCACGATCTCCTGTCCAAATGTTGTTCCAGACCTCTTAGCAGCAAGAGGTCACAGGTATCATTCTTTGCTGTTTTCTCTACCAATCCATGTACAAAATCAGAGAGAATTAATTTTCTAAGAATTAGAAAAACTAGCTAGTACAAAACTAGAAGAACTGGTTCATGAACATCCCCATTTAACATAGGACTTCTCAGTTTTTCCACTTCTGGCAATTAGTGTGCAAAATTACCACATTAAAACAACACACTTTGTATCTAGCTTTGTGTAGAGCATTACGTTCTACATTAAGTGACACTGATATAAACACAAAGCAACTATACTGAAATGAATTTCCTCCTGATTTTCACCAATGTGAAAATGTGATTGTCCTTTTTGTCAGAGCCCTTACTTTTCATCTGGAAATTCAGCCATTGCTCCAGATGAAATGACATTTGACTAATGACAGGAAACCAGTGCCAGAAAACCAGCATATAACGTACCACATACAATACACATAGCAATCAGTCATGACTAAGGCATTGTGGCAAGTGTGCTATTTATCAGTGCTTAAAACCTATGTAAAGCTTTTCTCTGAGGAAAAATGAGAAAGAATTCTGAATTTTTCACAGTAGGCCTAACTGAGAAAACAGTTCACTGCAGAAGGTGTATTTAATTGCTTTTCTGAGTGTGTGCTCATCTCTGCTTCTGCTGATATTCTTCCTTGTCCTGAATTTATTGGATAAGGAGCTTTCTGGCCCATGGCTCTAGGCTGAGAACGGCCCTCTCTTCTCACAAACAAAAGCCAAAAGTCCATCAGCTGCAGCACATCTTAGACATTTCGCCTCTTACAATACCTTTTTCAAAGTAAGTACAACCAGCAATCATAAAATAACTTCCATTTGCAGCTGTAACAGAATAGTGTTACATTATCTGTTGGATCCTGGAACCAAGTACGTGGTGGGAAAGGACTAAACCTTCCTGGGCACTTCCCTGCAGCCACACCAGGCTGTACTGGGCCATAAACTAGCCTGTCCAGTCTAAAGATCATATTAAGCATATTGGAAACTGCTCAGTGGGTTATTTTGATCCTGTTGCTGCTTCAATCATGAGAATATTGCTGGAGAAAAGAGCGTCTAGCAGAAAAGCTGGGACTCATGATAACAGACATCTTCATTCATTCTTTATGAATGTCCCCTTTCAGCTGCTCTTAGAATTGACTTAAATTCCCCAATAAGAAGATGCTTTGAATCCTTTGTCAGGGCCTGTAAGCCTGATTGGAGAAAGGTAGCAACCGGGCCTTTGGAGGAAGTACCGTATTATTCTGGTACTCACCAAAGTAACTTTGAACTGAAGGAGGATGGACCAACCAGCTGGCTTCTGGTTGATGGCAAAAGAGCAATGAGGGGGAGAGGGACAACAGACTGAAAGCAGACTATCCACAACAAGTAAGAAACATGAAGCAGGAGGACCAAACACTTCAGATGCGTAACAAACAGGTTATCTCAATGTTAATATTTTGACCAATGTGACAAATTTCTGGGAAAGCACGAAGAAGCTAATTTTAGTGGATGACTGAAGAATCCTACCTTGGATACAAATTCTGCAATGGGAATTGAAGGAATAAACATAATGTGATACCAGAAACAAGAGAATAGGAGTATATAACAATGCCAAAATCATAAAAAGAAAGACATTTGTGGGAAAAATAGTCCTAAACATAAGTACTTCAGCGGAGTGGGTAAATGGAAAAGTGTGTTACTAAAGATGCCTGCAATCTGGTTTACTCTTCCATCAATCCATCTGATATTTCTGCAGTGCTGTCTGCCATTATTCTTTTAATTTGATATTGCCACTTGTGTGTCATGTGAAATACCGTTTGAATGCCAAGGCAACTGAGATTCTGGCACACACTGTTGACAGCTGTTTTGAAACTATGAATATGATGTATACTACATCTGGTGAGGTTGGAGTGGAAAAGTATGGTGGAAAACAACAATTTCTCTTTTGGGACTTTTGGGAAGGGTTTACAGTATCTAAGTCCCTTATTTATTTATGGGACTCTCCAATTACCTACCCATACAGATGTTCTTGTAAAATCAGACCCAAAGATTGATTCAAGTATTTCTGCAAAGCTGGTTTGTTCTGTGGAACTAGGGAAAATGACACAGAACATGAAAGAAGAGAGATGCTTGAATGAGTTAAATCGGTGAATCAATAAATGATCTAAAAATATTTTTTCATTAATTTTCATGACACAGATGTGACTATGCCAAGCAAGGCATCATGTGTTCTCAAGCCTAATAAAGTCTAATACCTATGACTCAGTAGCAGCAGTGGCAGCAGGCCTCCTGGAAGCTGAAATGAATAATCAAGGGATTGTTGGTGTTGGGCTGATGTTGTAGGCACTACTGAGGAAAAGAGAGTGAAACCACAAAAATGTGCTTTATGAAGTTTGGAGCATAACAGCCAGGTAAGCATGTTACCTCTGACTGTTCTCCATAGCTGATTTCTAGAAAAGAAGTCTGAAAGAAAAACCAATAAATAGATGATATAAAAAATATAGATGCTAGTAACAGCATCTACTGGGGACAGTGTTCCAAACCCACCCTGACCGAGAAGTATATAATCTTTAGAAAACTGTTGCCTCTTTGTGCTTCAATTTATCCTTTGGCTACCAAATTGTTAGAGCCTTTATATTGCAGTTTGCTGCACAATAGTCCGTCTTTATGAGGAGAAGAGAAGAAATGCTTAATCCTTTCTAACCTTACCCAGGTAATCCTTGGAGCTATGAGATGCAGACTTGACACCAATAGATAGGGCTGGACCTGCACTTAGGTATCGCACTTTCATGGGATATTATATGTAAAAAAGTAAAAAAAAACTATTATATGTAAAAATGGCCTTTATTTTTGCTGTGCTTTTACAAACAAGCTGTTAGTCAGAACCTAAGGGTTGCCTTACCAAGTGCATTTGGACTGTGACTCTCCTTCTCAGAGAAGCAAGTAAGACAACCAAGTCTGGGATGATGGAAAAAACTTCAGCTACATCTTGGCTCTGGAGTCTCTCATTGGTTTTTCTGTTCAGTTTTCTGGTTGCTAGGAGTCCTTTGATATGCTCCTAATGGTTCTGTGTATTATACTAAGGTAAGACAGATCAACCTGTTTTTTTAACTTTGGGCAACGCCAATGTCTAAGCTTAGACAAATGGCTGGGTGCAATAGTGAGTGAAATGTATCTTGGCCAGATTCACTAAGCACAGAAGATTCCACTACAGTTTGCTAATGTTTGCTACCAGATAATTAAAACTAAAAAGGACTGGAATGCTGTTTCTCTGCATTGTTTTTTCTATATAGAAGGAGAACTAACAGAAAATTAAAAATGAACAGATCATGTAGAAAGAAATCCTTGATCGGTTTTGAAACTTTTACTCTGAGTCCCTAAGACACTGAAGCCTCTGCAGCAGATGGCTTCCACCACTGGGGCCCCCAGGGCCTCCTGGAACTGCGTATTTGAAACCAAAGATAACTGATAGTTTAGTTCAGAAATAATATAAGAATTAAATGTTTTCTTTGCAATCTGCCTTTCATCATTTTAATTTTCATACAGATGGATAAATTTAGGCAAAACGCAGCTAAGATACAGCTCTAAAAATACTTACTTACAAACAAAAAACACTGAAATAATAGGAAACAGTAAAGGACAAAAGACTTATTTTTCCATGGGGATGCAGGAGGTGCATATGGACATCCATGATGAATAACCAATGATTTTGAAGAGATCTGGTTGCCACAAAGAAGTGTAAGTATTTATGAGTGCATAACGTATAAATAATTAAAATATACATAACAACATCATAAATGTCAGAGAAATAATTCAGGCTTTCATTATATTATTATATCATGCTGAAGCTAACAGTTTCCCATTGCTTCCTCAATAATTTGAAATAATGATTTAATGCACAGAATGAAAAAAAAAGTTAAATGTTCAAATTCAACCACAGAAGTTCTGGAAACCATATAACATGTGGGTGCTGAGTAAACTTTAGACCACCCAACCATCATTTGGCCATTGGTTCTACAAGTAAAACCTCACCAGCTTATAGAAGTCTGAAGTACTACACAGTTTTTCAAAGTTATTCTTGATGGGGGTAAACAGAAAATGAACATTTCATAGAGGTAAAATAGTAATTTGAATGTTCCCCGACGTTTATGGGGATAAGAAGCAAGGTTTATTAAAAGTAACATATCCAGGGAATATACAGGTCTCTCATTTAACAAACAGTAATGTACTTATGATCAACAAGGTTTCTCTTCTTAAAATGTGCAGTGAATGGAGCTGAGTAGATTTGAGATTTTCTCAATTTCTTTTTCCTAACAGCAGCTTTCACTTAATGTAAAATCACTGTGGCTGACACAAAAATCTTTTAAATATGTAATTTTCCCAAAACTAAAGTCAAGTTCTTTTGCTCTTTCTTTAATACACATTGATTAGACTGAGTGTCAGAACTCAATTAGGACCATCTGATGATGGTGCTTGCTTGGGGAAATTGACTACATCAACAGAAGCACTAATATTTTATTTCAGATAGAGAAACTCTTTCTGTTGAGGCTGCACATTTCTGTGCACTGGAATGATTTGGATAGAATTTCACCCCAAAAATCTGAACACTTACATTTTGTATTTCTATTTGCTACAGGGCCTTCAACAAGGAGATGCAGTGCTGTCAGGCTGTCCTAGGCTCCACTGAATCTCTTGAAATATGACCAGAGTGGAAGTTTATTTTGATGACCGCCTTATTCTTAGTTGGCAAGGACTTCTGCATTTCCATGAAACAATGCCATTGGCTTCAAATACAAATACAGTCTTGAAACCTCAGTGACATGGTTTAGTGGTGGGCTTGGCAGTTCTGGGGTAATTGTTGGATTTGATGATCTTAAAGGTCTTTTCCAACCTAGCTGATTATAAGATTCTGTGAAACTGGAAGTGAAGAACGAGCACAGTGCCATGCTTGAACAAGAATATACTCTGGTGAAGCCACAGAATAAAGCACTCAGTGGGAATCTCCAGTTTAAGCACAAAAGCGAAGACAGGTCTGGATTTTCTGTAATAACCACCACCAAAGCATCTAAGTACATCCCAAATGCATCCCAGATTGACTTTATCCAATGTTCTGTTCTTTCTTCCATACCCTGTGGAGCTTCACTGTCCTGAGCACTGATGTAACACTGCTAGAGAAGAAAGGGTCATCTCAACACCTTGACAGCTCCTCTGCTGCAAGGGGGATTTGTGGAACTGGACAGAGTTGGGAAACACTCCATCCAGGCCTCAAATGGTGTGGTACAGTGAGGTCAAACTGTTGTTATGTGGCACAACACAGCTCTGAAGATTGATATAATGTAGTGGGAACACAAGAGATCTTCATCTTCCCATTGACCCTTTTTGCTTCAGAGACATATCCAGTATTCACGGCTGGCGCTGTGTCTCCAAAATCCAGGAGGATGAAAATACTTCGAAAAAACCCAAGAAAATGTCAATAACCAAAGCAGTCGACTTCCCAGCCACTTCGTTATGCATTATAAAATACTCGGGATACTTCTATTTTAGGAGAAACATTCTGGATTGATAAATAGAAACCTGAAATATTTGGAAAGTACTACTCTCAAGAATAAGTTTTTTAGGAGGAAAGCCCACAGTTCCAAAAATGCATCAGACCTGGAGTGCTACAGTGTGTAGAAGAACTTAGCCAGCTTTATTTTTTAAATATGCAAGGACACAAAGTGAATTTCTGTTTTGCTCTGAAATTAAGCAATATTGATTTTATTTTTATATGACACTAAAAGATGTCTTGTAACTAGAAGAATGTACTGGTTTTGTGTGAAACAAATGTGTGAATTAAGAGTTTTTGAATGGACGGGACATGGAATCATTAATAAAGGATCATCCATCTTTTTCCCAGAACAAAATGTTAACAGATCAAGTTTAAAAACATGACTTGCCAACCCCCTTTCCTTCCAATCCACTTTTTTTAAGACATATTGCATCTTAATTAATTCAGTTTGGATTTCTTGACATTGATAGTATTACCATTTTAGCAATTCTCCTGTCATCCATAAAGTCTGCTATGAAGCCTAGATCCAACCTTGCTTTCCTATATAATATATAAACAAAACCATATCTTAAAAATTAGAATGAAAACAGACAGAAAATGGATATCTTTTGCCTGCCATTTCAGGATAGCATAGGCAATGTTCATGAGTCCTCTAACTCAATATTTAACTTGTTTTAATTTAACTTATTTTGTAGTATCACAAAATGTGCCTTAGAATCTTTGGCTTTCATTTTGCAACGGCATCTGCCTGAGTAGATCCTTATGGAGTCCCCTTCCTGAATGAGAGCTTAGATATTGTAAATCTATCCCAGTCATCCCTAAAGAGAAATTGGACTTTTCCACTGTCTGCACTCAAACCTCAGCACCTCCAGATGTAGCACGCATTGAAGCCTTCACTTCAAAACAGCTGTCAAGAATGTGTGCCAGACTTTCAACTGTCATGCCATGTAGGCAGAATCCCACACGACATAGGAATGGCAAAATGGAATTAAATAATGGTACATGATATGAAAAGAAAAATGCAATAGAATTGCAGAATGGTGGTGGTCATGCTCCCTGACATTACAGAATTCAACATTTCTCTGTTGGAGTGAGTTTAACACCAGACAGTTCTGAAAATCATGAGGTTAAGAGGTAACTGCATTTCTTGAGAGGAGAGTAAATTTACCTGCCTAATGTATCTTAAGAAAGATGGCCTAAAATTTATCTCAACTCTTAACTTGTCTAAAATGCTCGTTGCATTTAATTTAGCTGTTACTTACTGTGCATATAAGGCTATGCTGTTCATGAGTGATGAGGTATAGAGTGTAACTTGTGGCCTTCATGTTGTGGTGTAAAAAAACCCTCTGAAACTGCTGTTACAGAATTTGGAATTATTTCATCAATTACTAACACTCCTCCTAAATAGAAGTAGAATTTTAGTGAGTAGTGTGTTTGATGAGATAGATTAAGCTGACAACTTTCATTAGGGAGACATACAACCATTGTAATACTCTTCCAAACCAAAAGGTTAGTCTTAAGAAACTAGACACTGATGTTGGCAGGTTCAGAGGTATTTTTTCAACTTTATACAACAGTTCATCTGTGCCATTTTAAATAACTCAGGAAGTAATATACTGAAATATATACCGATGGCCTGACACTGAAAGAAGCCAAAGAATAAGGAAAATTTAGATGGTTCTGATCAAGTGGTTTTATTTGTCGGATGCTATGACACCAGAAGCAAGCAACTTGAAACTCAGGTAAATACTAGGAATTAAGTTTTGCATTGGATTTTGGAATAAATGCCACCGTAAAAATGGGTATTCAAGGAACATATTGTGAGAATTATTTCATTAAAGATCTAGATGACAAAGGGTTTATTTTTGTCTAATAGCACTGTAAGTTATCAGTTATACAGTATAAAATAAATTGAGGAAGAGCCCTCTCAGAGGACTCTCTAGACATTGCTTTTATACAAGATCAGCTCAGGCCAGATGATCTAATAGTCCCTTGTGACAATAACATCTATAAATCTACAAAAAAGTTTTAATAAAACATAAGACCAAAGATGATCTTGTGTTTCTAAGTCTTTTGAGCTTTAACATTCTCTGCCTCCCATTTTGTGTTTATCCCAAAGCACTTCAGCTTTTTATTTCAAATTTTCTTCTACATTTAAGCACACTGGTTGCACTGGTAGTCCACTTTCCTGTTGTTATGATTGAATTCAGTAACCTACCAGTCACAATTTCTATTATGGTGGTGCTGCAACTATTTAAGCTTCTTTTATATTATTTGTAAACTTAAACAGAATGTTTAAAACAAAATATTGGATCATCTAAATACATCACAATGGAAGATGAATACTGTATAGATTTTTCCCTGCCTCCTAATTGTACAACTTTCATGCTATCTTAAAAACTTGTTCCTTGTTCTTAAATAAGAATCCTATTAACTTCTCATAGACATAACGCCCTGCTAGTTAGCTCTAAATAATGGGATAATTTCATTATTATAGTATTTTAGGTATGTCCTGCTAACCTATAACTTTAATTGTTGACACTACCACTCATTATATTATCTGTTCCCTGTTAATGTAGCCTGTCCTTTAATTCCTGCCAAATGGCACTCATCTACTTCTTCAGAGTGAGAACTTACCCTATTCAAAATAACTATGATTTCTTGAGTGTCACTCAAGTAGTATTTCACTCATTCAATATTGCAGTTTTTATTGGGTGTCACTCATGGTGGTCAAGGAATTCTGCACAGGTTTTCCTAATACAATGTCAACTTTTTTATGACAGGTCATCTAAACATAACAATGCTTTTGCAGGGTGGGTTTGCCTTTTATGTTTCTGAAAGAATGTAGTGATTGTGTAAAGCTAATACAAGGTTTGGGCATTTATTTGTTTTTTAAATTAGTTTTGAGAATATTCTACAATAACAAGAAAATTCGCCTGTTCAGATTATAATAATGAATGTCAGTTCAAGAATCTACATAAAAAGGTGGACTAAACTAGTTTTCTTTTGCTTTGTATCCACTTAACAGCAACAGGAAGCACTCAAAGAACATTGTACTCACTTGACTTTTGTATACCAATTTCACAGACCCAAAGAATTGTACTTAAATTAGCTGCCAAACCTGGGTTTGTTGCCAGCCTGAGCACTTTCAGTTTATCACCAGCTGACCTGCTGCTGTAATTCTAATATCCACTTTCTTGCTACACACTCACAGTTCCTTAAGAATAAGATTCCATGGTCACTTCAGCAAATCATAGAATGGTTTAGGTTGGACAGGACCTTAAGATCATCTAGTTCCAACCGCCCTGCCATAGGCACCTTTTTCCAATGTGTAAATCTTGGTTAAAATATGCCTGGAAAAGACTGTTGTCTACAAAGCACCCCAATATTCATGGAGCTCCTACCTGTGCTTATAATCTCTATAAGGTATTGGAATCACTAACTTTTTATGGGTATCTGTATCTTAAGCTGACAGCATCCACTGTAGCCTGATGCTATTCCAGTTGGTTTCCAGCAGAATTCATGCGATTGGGCAGAGTCTGGATCTGATTTGGAGGATGGCGATGGAAATAGGGATTGTTAAAAACACCCCATTATCATATGGTCTGGTAGTTGGCTACAGTGCTGTTCTACAAACATGATTTAGTACAGATGTTTCATTTAAACTCTAGGTTTATAAAGGTACATATTTTTTTGGTTTACTCTGATTATAACCACAGTCTACTCCTCCCCAGTAATCAACTGCTAGAATTTGTCAAATGTTGTCATTTAATATATGGGTCACTTCCAGTGCTGTGTTTGTTGCATGGAACGCTCCACTTCCATAGAAACAGATGTTTCAACTTAACAGCAAAAAGAGCTAAACAAGTGCATGTGAAGGCACCGTGCAAATAATGTGTTTCATTTCTGTTATTTATAGCTGTCTGCAGCTATCATAATTTTTTTATTTGAAAATTATTAAATCAATTACAAGAAGTTTATTTGCAGATACTGCCAAGAATGATGCATGCTAGGTAACTGCTTCTGGGGAAAACTCTCTTCGTACTGGCCATTACAAAGGCGTTTAAGTGAAGCCAATGCATTTCTGAAAGGTTGCAGTATGACAGTGTTTATACAACCAGCTTTCATGCATATGCAGAAAAAGCTTACCCTTTTTAGATCTCCCAACCCTCTGGCAGATATGCCAGGTGACAGGGACAGCGGATCTTCATTCCCAGCATATCTGAAAAGGGCAAGGCCAGCTGACACGGTGGTTAGAAAGAAGGCCCTGGCTGGAAAAAGGCTGGGCTGAGAGGATGGGTTTGTTCCTTCTTTCAGTTTGATTTAACTCAGATACATCCCATCTAACTCGGGAGTTAAGGTTGTATGAAAAGCTAGTAGCAGCCTTATCTAGAATGCAATGGGGGCTGGTGGTGGTGGTGGTGGGGGTTATGATATTTTTTTGAAGCACAGAACTGTTTACACACACCACAATGAAGCAAGAAATCAGCCACCTGTGAAATTCTTTGCTCTTTTAAATTCTACCTGACTAGTTTCATGTCAGTGTAGGAGCCACTCATAACAAAGGTGAGGTTTGAAAACGAGCCACGGTGCATACTTTCCAAAGCACACAGACTGAATAATTTGTAACAGGTCTGTAATATTCCACATCCAGGGGCGGATCACATAAAGAGCAAGCTGTGTGCAACCAAGGTAGCGGCTGATAGCTGATATTGCCTAACATCATTTCCCAAACAAATCCTGTCATTTCTACACTTGAACCATGGGCAAGCTTGAAATACAGCCCAGGTTATTCCAAAAGTTCACTCTGTTCCCCTCTACTGCCCACCCAAATGCCCTGGACATGTACTCCACCCACCTATACTGAGGTTTCTGTGCAGAAGACGGAGACGGGCCAGATGAGAGAAGCATCTCTGTTTGGAAAGCCTCTGTAAATGTGGGACACAAAAGCAGTAAACAAATCAAATGGGATGCCAGACCAAAATGTGTTCCGCATTTGTGAAAATAACAAAGTTGAGTCATAAAAAAAGGTTTATGTGTCTTCTTCTAGTGCAATCCTTCCCAAGGTACTTCCTTTCAATCCTCCTAAAATTAAATCCAGCACAGAGAGCAGCAGTATTTGTGAGTACACAGCATTAACCAAATGACAGCTCCATGTGGCTTAGCACCAAACACAGCTCTGAGGGATGGGCAGGTGTGTCCTCCCACAGCCCTCCTCCATGCCCAGGCATTCTGAGGGACACAGAGATGCCACTGCACTGCACTGCTGTAGTCATTTGCGCCTCACCTGCCATTTGCAGTGGACCCAACCTCAGGAGCCCCGCCAGCAACTTCTTCCCATGAAACTCTCCAATCTCTGCCTCTACCATTAATTCCTGCATGGAAAAACCTCGGGATCATTTCTGTAGCCATGGGAAAGACCTTGGGAAGCCTGCCTCTGTTTGTGTCAGTGACGGAAAGCCTCTTCAGACATCTTTCCAAGGGACTTGTGAAACCACAGGAATCAGCGCACCTCTTGTAAACAGGTTACACAGCCCCTGGGAGCTCCGTGGTTTGGTGTTTGATAACTATACAACAGCAACTGGAAGCAAGATGTAACTGAAAAGCATACAGGTAGTATGAGATAGAATTGCTGTTCAATACCTGATTCACATGAAATGCTAAATGTAAAAAATATAGATTACTGAAAAGTTTTGCCAAAGTTTCTACTAATTCAATTTTATATGAAATCTTGATGTGACAACAAGTCACCCAGGGCTATTCATTAGAAGTGTGCTTTTGCACATCCTTAATGAGAGATGGGAGTTTTTGAAAGTTAGGAAATCTGGAAAGCTTTTTAGCTCTTTTCACTGCATTTCAACTGAATATTTAATGTCTGCACATGGTGAGCACAGTCCAACACAAACTTGCAATAAGGAAAAAGAATGTCAGCTGGTGTTCTGAAAGCCTACTCTTTACACAAAATTAATTAAGTCATCATGACTGTCTGTAGCAGATCAATATGAAGATATTAATATATTAATGTATTATATATTAAGGGGTACGGGCATATTATTTATTCAATTAACTCAGCCTTTTCTCTGACTGCAAGTTTTCTTCATAGCAAGTGCTATAAATTTGTTTCGCATTCTTTTTTTGTCTTAAAATAAAGAAGTCAATTTATGGTACAATTTACATGATTGACAGCATTCATTTAATACTTGAAATTTAGAATTCCATTGTCTACCTGAGTCACTATCATTATTTCCAGGCTTTGTTGGATAACTTAACATTTAGAAAGTGGGCAGAGGGCCTCATTCATTTAGTGGGACTTTCATTCCTTTAGAAGACTGGTTAAAGAAGGAAGATCTATTACACTAGCACTGCATAAGCAGATTAAAGGAATATTAGGGCATTACATACTTTTTCTTGCTTTATTAAATAATAAAATATTTTCCTATATATATGACCTTCATATTTAATACAGGCTCTTTTCCTGAACAGATGAACCACAAAAACATACTGCAATAAAACCCAACTGATTTAGTAGACCTCAAAATCCAGAAACCTTTTTATGCATCCGATACATACAGTTTTGCCTGCACTTAATAGTTACATAAATCTTTCTTCCCTTGATATGGTTATTTGCCGTAGAGTCAAAGTCTGGAACAAAGATTTGAGGATCTAAATAAATATCAATTAATATTTAAATATAAAAATATTAAATACCAATGAGAAGAAAAAGTCTCACTCCATGATGTTAGGTGTGGCCTCTTTCTGCTTTTATTTCTCTTAAGTAGCTAAATCATCCTCAGGACAAACCTAAAAGGGAAGGAAAAAGTCGTAACAAAGTTACAGTATAATTTCTGTACGTGGCACCATAGCCATGTGTCTTCTTCCATTCTCACAACTCCTTTATTGACTGTAAAAACCAATGAAAGAAAGTATTCTCCTGCAGGAATCCTGGCTTTTTCAGGGATTTGTGTGCTGGATATCCAGGAGTTCAATGGAGCTTCATGCCATACCAGCCTTCTCCATGAGTTTCCTTTCACTCCTCTGATGTGCATGCCCATGCTTTCAAGGTGAAGGCTCACAGGTGTGACTCTTCTCAACTTTTTCATCATTTTACCTACATTTTATATCCTTGTTCTCAATTCCATACATGTGAAAATCTGTGCACTGCAAGCTCCAGTGTCTTCTTGATCTGAGAAACAACCAGACAATAAGAGAGCTGAGACGAGAAACATTTTCGCAGAGCAAAACTACCCTGTGACAGCAGCTTGACAATAACCATTGTCATACAAAATTACATTAATCTATCATCCTGTTTCCACTATGTTAGTTTCTATTTTTTGTTTTCTTGAGTTACCACCACTCACCACTGTTATTTTGCAGCAAAGAGTTAAGATACAAGAATAGAAATTATCTTCACATGTGCATCTGTTGTCTCAGCAAGACCCGTCTCCCACCTTCAGCATGTGCCTGCACACAAAACGCAGATGAGGAAACTCATCTCCTTTGGTGCACACCGGACCATCCCCCTGAGAGGGGAAGCAGACAGCCACGCATGGGAGGTATCACCAGCAGAAAGTACCAGCTCAAACATGACAGTTTCAGGCTTTGACTTGTGTCTGCTGCTGCTGCTGTGCACTTAGAATCATAGAATAGTTTGGGTTGGAAAGGTCCTTAAGAACATCTAATTCCAACCCCCCTGCCATGGGCAGGGACACCTCACACTAAACCATGTCACACAAGACTCCATCCAACCTGGCATTTTCCACAGACCTGTTCCCAAACCTGGTCCAAATGGACACAAACGTTTAACACACACATGACCAAGGTGTGAACCAGTTTGATTCCCCTCCATTACTGTATTTAACATGCATTCATTCAATGGCAAGATTCAAGACTGCACGCACCTCTGTCATTCCCCTTGAGCCCTCTTCACACACCCTAATCACTCATAGCGGTCAAAAATGTACAGTTACATTAACTGGGACACTGCTGCAACCCACAGGTAGATATGTCTGTATGCTTTAAACTTCATTAAGATCAATGGAAGATCTAAAAAAAGTAAGAAAAAAATGCAGGATGAACAGTAAAATCAGGTGAAGTCCTGGATGAAAAGCCCTCAAAATCTGAGTCTTGTTTTCTTCAGGTGTTCTGCCTTTGCCAGTAAAGCTGTTGTGTCCTAGGAAAACATATTCATCCCACTGCTTTGTGCTGAGTTCTGCCAGCCCCCACAGCAGCTCTCTTAACCTTCAAATTCTCACTCGACCTGCAGCACTGTCAAATTTGGTAGTGCTGCAGTTGCTTTGATGGGAATTTCAAGCAGTTAATTCTCAAGAGTTAAATTGTTTTTCTAAACTACCTAAAAAGTCCAATTTCTATATAGAATTTCAGAAATAAACTTGTCTATTAAACCCATGTGGAGCTAAATGCTGTGTAGTTGAAACTGACATCTCTGGGAGAATCTCAATTGGACAAAATCCACAAAACCAGTATTTCAAAATGAATTGCTATTATTCTGGAAAGTTGTCATTTAGAGGGTTTCAGGATAGTATTTGCTGATGCTATGTTTGGTATTTTATTTTACATTATTTTATCATGTCTTGTTTAAAGAGTTGCTTTACCTTTTCAGAATCCATAAAGATACGATCATTAAGCTCACATATAATTTTCACTGAAACAATTTTTATTTCCTTCCTAAGCCAAAAGACCTTGTGTTTGATAATGAGACAGCTGGACATATAGATACTACATGTGCATAATGTGCATTACCATCACCATACCTGAATAAAGCCGAAGTGAAAGTTATACAAAAATGAGAACTAATATAATACAGTGCAAATAATATTTTTAAAATCTACATCAAATTTTACAATACCTTCAATATACTTTTCATCAAAATTAAATTTAAAGGAAATATTTCAATATAATCAAAAGCAACATTTTCATAAAAAATATTTTATGAAAAATTTCTAACTTCTGTAGGGAGTGATCAGAAATAAGGCAATAAGCTTAACTATTAATCCCAGAATTAGGAGATACAAATACCCACTTCTCTTTTATTATTTATCGTGAAATATGAATTCCTGAAAACTGGTATAAAATGGTATAAAATTATAAAATATATTAAATGAGCAGTATTATATGGTAAAACTAAGGGAAATATCTCAACTTATTAACACCTTTTTCCTAAACCCTACAGTCTGTAATTTCAGGGGTTTGAAAAAGGTATAGAAACATGGACATTTTTTATTATATTTTCTCTGGAAAACTCCTTTTATGTGTTTGGGGTATAACAAACTCAAAATTTCACCGATATGCCAACATGCTGTTTTCCCCTGCTGCAAAGTTAAAGCTGTAACTTTCATTAGATGGATCGTTGGTTTCTGCCCCACTGAGGAGCTGAGCCCTCAGCACTGATCACTTATCTCCCTGTCTCATTTTACAGAGGTGCAATGAAACACTGATTTCTTTATGCACTTTAGCTTAGGATGCTAGTGTCCAGGTATTAATCTGATCCTCAGTTTCATTTCTGTTGCTGCAGAGAAACATCTTACCCTTTTACAGAGCGGACTAAATGCTTCCCTCATGTTGTTTTTTGATCTGGCCACTTGTGACTACATCTGTAACCTTTTAGTGCTTTGCAGAGTCCTACCAGCAGAGCACAGGCCAGGAGATGGCATGTTCTCCTGGCTGGGCCATGCAGCTGCAGTCCACAAAGACTTCAAAATGCTTATAGAACCATAGAATCACAGAATAGTTAGGGTTGGAAAGGACCTTAAGATCATCAAGTTCCAGCCCCTCTGCCATGGGAAGGGATACTGCACACTGAACCATGTCACATGAGCAAAAGCCACCTTGTGAGACATGAACAGCAATAGGTATGAATTTACCTGGAGTTATAAGGTGGGTAATATTGAAATGTGCGGCCTCAAGACACACGAGGGGAGTTTTACACGGGATATTAGGAAAAATTTCTTCACCAAAAGGATGATCAGGCATTGGAACAGGCTGCCAGGGAAGTGGTGGAATCACGGTCTATGGAAGTGATCAAATACCGTGTAGATGAGGCCCCCAGTGACATGGTTTAGTGGTGGACTTGGCAGTCCTGAGGTGAAGGTTGGACTTGATGATCTTAAAGGTCTTTTCCAACTTAGTTGACTCTATGATTCTATTATATGAAATGACATTCAGAACTCCACTTTACAGGCAGCTCGCACAGTTACAGTGGGTACGTGTTTCATGCAGGCTCTTTTCAGGATTTTCCATGGAAAGTACCTTCAGCCATATTATCCACACGATGCATCATCGCAGCTCACCATCAACAGAATGAGAACCCCAGATGAGTTGCTGCTGAACTTCCCTCTGATGTCCACTATGGTAAATCTAGTCACATCCTTCTCACAATGATGACAAGAGGGATGGGTTGTCCAGCAACAGCAGGAATTGTCTGGGCTGTGATCAGTCAAAATCAAGCAAAAAGCAAGGTTCTTCTTCCACCTAGAGTTAGAGAGGGAGCAAAGATACATCCAGGAATGCATGTATTTCCTGACAGTGTTTATCTCTAGTGTGATCATGTGTTCCCTGAACAGAGTTCCTATCCCATAGGTCTTCTATACACTCTGCTTTCCATCCCTGAGAAAAGAATGTATCTGTACCAGCAGCTTCTATGTTCTTTTAAACCTCCTTTGCAGCTGCTGTCTGTGCTCACCAACATTGCCTGCAAGCAGTCTCCTCAGGAGGAAAAGTACGCTCATCTTCTGTTAGAAAAATCAAAGCATCCTCTGGAATTGAATAACAAGAATAATTAAAATGAATTTTGCAGACTGTATTTTCTAGTTGTCTGTTCATACCATGATTCAATATTAATTAAAATCTTGCAAAGTTTGCAGACATTATTTTCCTGGGGATTTTTTTTTTTTTTTTTTTTTTTTTTACTTAGCAACAGTGCTATTTTAAAGCAAATTTTCTGTCCAAAATAATAATTTCAAAGACTATAAGAGGTTTACTGTTTTAGGAACACATTACCCCATGATGACAAACAAAAGACTCAATAAAAATGAAAGAAAACCTAAAAGAAATGAAGTGCTTATGGATGCAACACCACTTCCTAAACCATCATCCTGAAATATAGTCAGAAGGAACCCAGTAGGATTCTCCTAAACTCAATAAGCTGTAGACTAGATCTAATTAGGTATGAGTCAGAAGTTGTCCATGCTCACTGTGGAGCTGATTTCTGCTCACCCTTTTGCCAGGGTAAAAAGAAATGTTTTATCTTTGCAGGCTCATGGGACATTTACTGGACTTGAGCCTTTGGAGGGTGAGGAGACAGCAGGTCTGCAAGACAACAGCATCGCAGAGCACCTGTTCACAGTACAGGGAATGGGAGAGCAAGGAAAACCTGCTCCTGCTATGGAAACAGAAATTCTGCAGTCTCATTTTGTTCATTATGGAAACACAGCCGCTGTCTTTTGAGGGTCGTGAGGCGCTGGCACAGGGTGCTCAGAGAAGCTGTGGCTGCCCCATCCCTGGCAGTGTTCAAGGTCAGGTTGGACGGGGTTTGGAGCAACCTCTCTGCTGGAAGGTGTCCCTGCCTGTGGCTGGGGGCTGGAACTGGATGAGCTTTAATGTCCCTTCCTACTCCAACTGTTCTATGATTCTATAGTATTCTCTTCCTATTAAAAAATATAAAAATGAACAAAAAAAGGTTATTATTTGTTCTGATAGTAATAATGATATTTAAACCTGAAATTTCAGCTGCTAAGGCATTCTGGCTTCACAACTTTCCTTAATTCCTATGCAAAAGTTAATTACACACGTGTGCTTGAAGTAACTGGAATTATTCCACTGTACTGGTGGCAAAGGCAGTTTCCAACAAGTTGGTTCCAATGTTTGACTCTTATTTTTACCTGGTTGGGGGGGCTTATCCCATCAGCTGGTGACACCTGCACAGATCCATGGGGTTTGCATGCAGTTCCTTGGCAGGTTCAGACCTCCTTTGGAGAAGACAGCCAGGGTAAATAATCCCTCCTGCCAAGCGGGCTCTGCCTGCTCTGCAGTTAATGGCTTTTGGTAAAATTCAGTCCCTGTCTCAAGAGTCCAGAAGAGAAATGTGAAGCTTTCACCTAACAAAGCAATTTCATTACTTAGAAATCAATCCCTTGCTACGATTTGATAACTGCAACAAAGTTCCCTACCAAATTTGACAGAACTTCTACTTAAATCAATCTATAAGCTTGTACTTAAGCACTTCATTAAATGAAGACTTCAGCAGAGGAAGACAGCAACTGTGAGCTCTTCTTTAGGATAATAATCTGAAATGCTTCAAATTTGGTTTGCAGCCCCTTACGCCTTCTATAGCATTCTGATTCCCTAAATCAGAACTATCATCTGCAGAAAAAGTGAGATGGTGGAAAATTCTCATGCTGGAAATTGTTTCCAAGATGTATTTTTCTTAAACAAGATGCTAAAGGTGTGTATTACAATAAAATTTAAGTTTTACTTAATTTTTATACTAAGTTTTAGTCTGTAAATGTCGAGTGTGTTTAGCACACAGCTCCTGGAATGACTAATCTCCAAACTTTTTGTTGCAACTGTGTTTTCTGAATATATTGCTTTTCCTCGTATATTGTAATCCATGGCGTATATTTTCTTTTTTTTTTTTTTTGTAGTATTAGCCATATCTATGTGGCAAAACCCCTTGTATGTTTATAAGCTCTATCGCTTCTTTAAGATGACATAAAGAGTGTTATTTTAAAAATGGGAGATAATATAAAATTCCTTTCATCACACTTGTCTTTCTCCTTCACTCTTCTGCTTCTAGCTCTACATCTAAATCATTGCTTTCCTCCACGTCTTGGAATAAGTGTTTACAAGACACAACACTTGGATTTCCTTTTTGGGCATGCAGAGTCAGCCCAAGACCTGGGGCTGAATGGCACACACAGATTTTATGCAGAGATGGATAAACAACACCAGAAAAAAAAGGCAAGAGCAAACGTGGTTATCTGTGTATTCATTTGTACACCATTGCATTGTCTTAGTTTAGTAGATAGAAGCACACATATTTAGATTAGCACATACAGTTAGTGGTGGGTAAAAATTTTGTAAAACATTTTAACTGTGCAACACTGACTGCATTCATTTTCTCATTCAAGCTAAAAAAAAAAAAAAAGCTATAAGGCACTGCTGATGGAAGTAATCACAGAACGGTTTGGGTTGGAAGGGACCTTAAAGATCGTCCAGTTCCAGCCCCTTGCCACGGGCAGGGACACCTTCCACTAGAGCAGGTTTCTCCAAGCCCCGTCCTACCTGGCCTTGAACACTGCGAGGGATGGGGCAGCCACAGCTTCTCTGGGCACCCTGTGCCAGTGCCTCACCACCTTCACAGGGAAGAGCTTCTTCCTGATGTCTAATCTAAAAGGCAGCTCTCAGCGACCCTCACACTCCAACAACATTTTTTGCTGGTCAGAGCATAAAATGTTAATTTCCTTGGGCAGCCAAAGGTTATCCCATTCAGGCAAGCACCCCTGAGGAGCAGTTGGATGGTGCTTCCCTCAGGCTGGCCATCAAGAAGGAGCTTTGCATGCAAGGACTGAGACACCACAAGATGCTAAACCACCACCAGCTTGCCCTCAGTGGAAGCCATTTACAGCAGTGCTGCTGGAGAGCTGATCACACGTCTTCTTAAGCGTGGTGCCTAATAATGTTGTTTTTCATGAAATTATGAACTATTAAATCTACGTGACATAGAGATGAGAGAAGAAATGTTCACAGGCCAGTGTAATTTATGAACATGTGCTGCACAGATGTGAAATTTTTCTTGCTATACTTTTGAAAATTTGGATTACATTTTCTCTCCTCTCTCGTGTTCAAGCTCTGTACTTGATGCCTTATTAGATGTCTCAGCAGGGTAAATGGATGATTAATAATTGTTGATGACAGAAATTTGGTTTCTATAAGCTTTAGAGTGAAAGATAAATATGATAGGAATGGTCCTACCTATGTATGACAACTAAGCCTCTTTAAGAATGTCTTTGTTAGGGTTACCCATGATTTATGAGGATGTCACCACTGCCCCTAGATATTGAAAATCTCTTGCAACTTCTCTTACTGTAATCATCACTTTTTCTTCAGATAGCGGGGGGAAAAATATTCCCCCCAAAAAGAAAAGGAAAGAAAGAAAAATTTGCTTTTTTCAGGGCCAGGAAATATTCTATAAAACACCCAACTCCTGACCATTAGGTCATTCTTCAGAGCAATGCATACACCTGTGCTGCCATCTCTCAATTAACTCTTGAGAACAAACCATCAAAACAAGACCATGGTGTGCGTGCGCCAGGAGCCAGGGCTGAGCTACAGGTTCATCTCAGACTCTGGTCCCCAGTTCACTACCGTATTGTGAGGAAAATGAAAACAACAGTTCTGAATCCCTCCTGAGCAGAGATGAGCCATGCTGTCTGGATCCTAGAGAGCTATATACCAAGGTAAGGGTTTGCTTCAAGACCATCTGTTTTGTAATGAGAAGTGGCTGGCCACAGCAACTGAAATCCAATTTCCAATTAAATTCAAAGAAGAGATTTTAATGGATTAGGTAGGTCAATTGACAGGAATAACTCACTCAAAGCAATTGGAAAGATGAAAGCCTTCCCTTATTTTGAAGCCTATAATATTCTGAAATACAAAATCCTCATTTGCAGAAATACATCACTTCTGCTTCTTCAGGTTGTATTTGTTGTATAAACAGGAAAAAAACAACAATTTTGTTAGTAGTTCTGATTTCTCTACGCCTTCTAAAAAGTCACATAAACATTGCCAATGTGACATTTATTTGTTTCTAATAACAACTCCTGACATCTGCAGAACCCTAAGCAGAACTGGAAATCCTATAGTACAAAAAAAGCATAATAGGAACAGACATAAAGGAGAAAACAGGCTGAAAAATAAGCAAGAGATGTCAGCTATAATGGCTGAAAAAGGGGAATCTGCCTTACAAATATATAACAACTTATTTCATACCTATAGTAGTATTACACGTGCTAAACAAATTGCAATTGATTACTCATTATTCTATAATGCAGGTCCCTTTAAATACATAAGCAACTACTTAAGATACTTTTCTCACTCAAAAATTTTGCTCTGAAATTAAAAAAAAATAATAATAAAAGATTCTGTCTGGAAGCTTTCATCTGTCCTGAAGTGAAATGGTTTATAAACTACTACAGTTTCTCCAGCTCTTACTGTTACAGTGTTATCCCCCTTTGGGTTCGCAGGACAGAATCTCTTTGCTTTTCTGCATCTTTTATCTCATCTCCATGACATTTTCAAGAGTTAAATTTGCATGTAGAAAGAGAACCACTCCTTCACACATCTGGTAATTACTCTGGGAAATGTACTGGTACAAGAGACTACAGGCTTAAGAACCGCAGTTGAACTGTATGTCTAGAGATTACTCTTCCTAATTAGTAATTATGCATAATGATAGAAACCTCATCTGGGTTTGTGCTTCAAGAGAGTATGCAGCCTGACAAAGGGGTTTTAATACAGGCTAAGAAGTCCACTTCCTGTTTGTGAAGGAAACATCCATCATGTTAAGGTTTGGCCCTTCCCCTTGTTGCTTTGAGTTCCAAGTGCATGCACACCTGAAAACCTAATGCAAGACTGACTGCAGGCACAGTTAGCCTGAAGATTCAGGAAGGGACTGTGCTGCAAGAGGCTCAGATGATCTGCACTGACACATTGGCCTTCTCCTTCTCCAGGATTTTAGAAAACTCTGCAAATTTATATTCTCTTATCTTCTGCTTTGATCTGAGCTGCTGGGAAGTGTTCCTCCTGAACAATATGAATTACCAAAATCAATAGAAAACTCCCCTTAATTTTAATTGGCTTTGGAACAATGTCTTTTAAACATGGCTAAATCAGCTTTGATTTTGATCACAACTCAACTGTGGACAGAAGGAGTGGAAAATTGAGAAACCCGTGCCAGATGTTGCTCTGCACCGTCAGAACTGGTTTCATTATAAAACCTCACTCCACTGTGCTGAAGCAAAATGACTGCTCTCAGTTGCTTGAGCAGACAGATGAGCTTGAGGTACAGCTCCACTCACATATGGCTCTGTGGCTGGCAGGAGGCATTTCAGGAACACACAAAACTGCTGGTCTCAATAGAAACAAAAAAAAAACACAGTAGGAAAATCTACTCTAAAAAAGAGATCTAAAGCTCTTTTAACCTGATCTCACTCACTGCTGAGGGCTCAGAGAAGCTCTGATGCCCTGACAGCATGTCACCCTTGTGCTGCTCAGGCTGAAAGGAGGGTGCTGGCACTTCCTACCAGCTGCAGCAGCTCCTCTGCAGCCTCTCTCAAGGATGGCAAACTCCTCATGCAAAGATATGTGATAGCCACTGTCATCATACTAGTTTTGTACCAGGATCTCCAGAGCTGAGACCACTGTTAGCTTCCTCTACACAGGCAATTTTCTTCAGCTCTGCCTACAGCAGACTGTCATCTCTGCTCTCCCCTCAGCACAAAGAGGGATTGACAGAAGGGGTTCGAACAAGCTCCATTAGGAAAAAAAGGCAATTTCTTACAGGTGGGAACAAGTATGTTTCAATTCAGAGATACTTCCTCTGGAGCAAAGCTATCACTTAACAGTCTGAAGCAGGATGTGTCTTTGTACTTTTCCAGGCTGAAGCAGGGGAGCGACCTGACCCAACAGTACTCCCGTGGCTTCCCAGTGCTGGAGCACGTGTCTGTCAGGTCTAGCAGCAGGGGTGGAGGGACCGAGCTTTTCAAGTTTCTCCAGCTTCCAAAAACTGCTCAAACTAGCACATTCTCAGACATACAGAATAGTAACCTACTACTGTCCCAGAGCACTGGGCAGACCTTAACTTGTTTAAGGATTATCAGTAGTTTTCAAGCCAATGGAAAACAAGACGTTCAACTGCCCCTGTGTTTCAGCTATTCCTAAATTTTCATGCCACTCCCAAGGCTGAGATGGATGTTCACATTAATTATAGGTCAGTGGTGTTGAAGACAATTAGTTAGTAGATTGGATAGGTTTGGAGTCTTACCACTTTTGGTGGTCTTGAATACCCTTACCCACCTCTGAATTGCGTTATCTTATAGCCTAGCAATAGGCTTTATTTTATAGACAATAGCCTTAGACTATCTTACATCTAGCTCTATAGGATGAGGATAGATGGAGAAATGTACACCACCATGGATACCCAGGTCAGACATGTACAATACAGATGTGCACAGGAATACATTTCTGCTGTTCCACACCCTCTTGCTGTAAATCCCATCTCGGAGAGCTGGAAATGTGCACATTCACAACACAGAATAACACCACATCAGTATTACAAATATTAACAGCTTGACCAAAATCAAATCTAGTTTCTTTTCTGGTTTCCTCTCTTCACCGTAGCTGAGACTGTGCAGTAGTTCTCCCAGGTGGATCAGGATGATAGTGAAGTTTTTTCCATAGAGGCTGATAGAAGCACAGTGATAAGTAGCATAAAGCTATAACATATATGAGAGTTCCTCTGTTTCACATCTGGATTTTTGACGTTTACCAAGCTAAGGATTGAACAGTTTTACAGTTATTTTTTTTTCCTCAGTAAGCAGCTTTATTATTATAAATGCTAATTCATGAAGAATAATGCTAAAGAGAGCAATTAATTCATTCAGGTATTTCTGATCATCTCATAGTTCCCAGCAATAATGTAGAAGAAACCATAAGAACAAAAGATGTAACTTGTGTCCTTATAGTCTATATCCTGGACTGAGAAATCCATGAGCATCTGAAGTAGTATCACATTTAGATACAAACCTCACTCACAGCTTCTCCTTTCAGTCACCTCCAGAATCCTCAGGTTAGTAGCAAACCACAAGGCATAAAAGAAAGGAAAGCATGCATTTTGTAACTGATAAGAAAAAATTGAGCACTTACTACCTTCTATTGATGGATTCATGCTAAACTTCAAATATTCTTGCTTTGTTGCATTTCTAATACGCTGCCCTGTGTTGCTGAGAGGGGAAAAAGGGGACAAGCTTTCTCCTTTCTCCCTTTTCCCAGCTGATCTGAGCTGGGTGCAAAACTGGGGCTCTAAAAACTTTAACTGGTTCTGGGGGGACACACAGAGCCTACAAAGGACTAGTTCCTCTTACACAGGTTAGAGGAATGTAAGTTTTTCTTATATCCTAACAGTGACAAGCACTCAAAGCCCCTATCAGTGGGAAAAGTTGTGGAGGGCATTACAAGAGCATGTAACAAAGAGAGAAATTATCTAAGGGGGAAAAAATAATCCACACAAAAGACTGTAATAACTAGGTGTACACAAGAGTGTACTTCAGCAGAAAAGTATAAAGAAATCAGGATCCCATGTGTTATTATAAAGTAGATGGGTGAAGTAATGCAAAATGTGTTGCATTGAACAACCTTTCATTAGGAGCAGGAAGGACACAGTAAACTATCAAGTAATTCTTCTTATCATGTATGTCTTTTATTGCTTTTGAAAATAACCTGGCTTGCCAGACTGATCCTTGCTGTGGGACAGAAGAGCCTCACATTTATAACAATAGTCCACAAAGAATGAGTCAGTGGGGAACCCTTTGTAAGATGCATCTTTGACAACACTTTGCAGGTTGAAATGTGTTGCTTTTTATTCTCTCTTTCATAAGCAAGTACAAATCCAAACTATAACTTTTAATGGCAGGCACGTTGTGTATAACTGAAGCAGTTTCTTGTAAATACGTGAATGTAACGATCTAAGGCAGACTTACCCCAGTGAATGACAAAAATGAAAATATAACCCTGAGTTGCACTGGTGTGTGCTCACGCAACACACACCTACTGGGACTTAGCTTAAAAGGTTTTTGAAATAGTTTTTTCTCTAATATTTATTTAAATGGAAACTTTCCCAGCTGTTGATGGCAGATATCATATGCTTGTGGTGGCAACAAAAATGGCAATTTCTCTGTTCCTGTGGAATGTCTTGTTTTAGCTGTGTGAAAAGAAACACCATATTGTAAAGCCGAACTGGAAGCCTGTCAGTGACACGAAAATAGGGAAGAAATTTAATTGTTTCCATAATTCCTTATTTGAATTAAATAAATCTACTCAGACATAAGACCCTAAAAACGGGAAAAAGCTGCAGATGTTATGAAATTAAACAGTTTGTGGTTCTCTTGATAGCAAATCTTATTAAATGTGAACTGGTAGGGTTTATGCAAACATACAAGATACAAATAGTAGGATCTTTTAATTTAACTCTGATAACAGCTTCCAAATATAATCTGTAAATATTTAAGCAGGGACAAAAGGTACTGTCTTTTACAGATCTATGTACAGCATTTCATTAAAAAACCCCAAATAACCCGTACTTTCAATTATAGTGTAACGCTGGTAATGCCTGTTGCTCCATCCAGTATTTTCTCATAACGTCTGTTACTTTCTCCCATTTTGTGATTGCCCGGAATTTCTCCTCTTACTTTATCAAAACCAGGCCTGAATCAGTTTGGTTTATTTCTTTCTTCAGACCAAGGAAGAAAAGGCAGTATAATTCCCACTAAATCTTGGAATACGCTTTCTTTTGTACTAGCAAGTATTTGCTTTTTCTAAAAATACTACATGTATCCATTGTTAAAGCTTGTTGTAAAATAGAAACTGAACTGGCAACACTGAGTAAAACCACATATCCAAATCAATTCCTTTGCATCTGCTTTTATTTCTTGGACTTCTTC